TCTGCCTCCCAAGTGCTGGGACTACAGGCATGCACCACCACACCCGGCTTGCCCATATATTTTAAGTCCTTCAGATATTTGAGAGTACAAATCTTTTTTTTTCTTTTCTTTTTTGTCTTTTTGAGATAGGGTCTCCCTGTAGCCCAAGCTGGTCTGGAACTGGCTATGTAGACCAGGCTAGCCTTAAAGTCACAGATTTCTGCCTATCTCTGCCTCCCAAGTGCTGGGATCAAAGGTGTGTACCACCATGCCCAGCAAGAGTACAAATCTTTTTTTTTCTTAGTCTTTTTGAGACAGGGTCTCCCTGTAGCCACAGCTGGCATGGATTCACTATGGAGACCAGGCTGGCCTCAAAGGAGTACAGATCTTAAATAAGAATATTTTCTATGCACATTAAGCAAACACTGTATTTACCGAATAAGCAGATACCCAGAAAAGACCCTCAACATAAAAATTTCAATGTGTTGGCAAAAATAAAACTTGCAAGGTCTGCCATAAAATGTTAAGGTATTGCAGGGTGTGGTAGTACAGGCCTTTAATCCTACTACAGAGAAGCAGAGGCAGGCAGATCTCTGAGATCAAGCCTGGTCTACAAAATGAGTTCAAGGACAGCTGGGGCTACAAGGAGACCCTGTGTCAAAAAAAAAAAAAGTTAAATCAGACCTAAATAGTTCAAGAATAAGGGAAGGAACTGTGGTTAAAGCCTATCTGTGAAGGATATTTTTCTTACCAGTCACATTATCTCTACTAATGTCAAACCCACTCTGATTACCTCAGGAAGACTTAATTATTCCTCTGCCAGTCTGGAGAGCATTTCTTTTTTATTTTTCTTTTTATTTATTTTTGGTCTTTTTGAGACAGGGTCTCCCTGTAGTCCCAGCTGGCCTAGAATTCACTATGTAGACCAAGCTGGCCTTGAACTCACAGAGACCCACCTGCCTCTGCCTCCTGAGTGCTGGGATTAAAGGCATGCACCATCACACCTGGTAAGAGATAATTTCTTTATATTGTATTTAAAATCTATACCAGCCTGGGTTAAAGAAAGTTGTATATGTAACTCTCCAAAGCCAAATATGGTCTTTGTCTTGTTTAGTTTTCTATCAGCAACATCTAACAAAAGACCCATGACTGAATTACCCCTTTGATTTAGAAAGCTTAAAAATTAAACCCCAGCATGATACCAAGCTTAAAAATTAAAGTCCAGCACTTAGGAGGCAAAGGCAGGTGGAGCTCTGTGAGTTCAAGGCCAGCCTGGTCTACATAGTGAGTTCCAGAACAGCTGGAACCCTGACTCAAATGACAAATAATAATAATAATAATACAAATCCATAGTTCCCCTTATGACTAGGTGTAAAAGCGATTAGTGTTTGATATGTTTATGTTTACAGATTATTCTAGAATAGTAAAAATAGCACCTTAATGCCACTCAAAGAAACAAACTATAAAGACTATAAAGATAAATAACTACTTTGGCCCAATATGTAACACCCAATATATGAAAGACATGGGAAAAATGTTTTAGTAGTTTACCTGATCTGAAATGTCCCACACTCTGACAGTTCCATCACAGCTAGCTGATGCCTGCAGAAATAAACAGTATACTTCTCTATAACTACAATCATAACACCACAGAGAAACTGGTTCCAATAATTCAAACAAATAACCTTTTACCAACAAGGTAAATTTTTCTGCCAATTCTTTCATGCTTTTAAACCCATTCAGGAAAACCAAAAAGGAAGGAAAAAATTACCAGAAAGATGTCCTTAGGATCGAAAGACAGACTTAAAACAGGGGCATCATGTCCTCTAAATGTTTTCTGTTGGCTGTTATCCATCACTTCCACCACTTTGACCAGAAAATCGCTGTGAACAGGAAGAGTAATCATATGAACAAATGAGAGCCTCCCTACAGCACACTTACGTATTTCAAAGCCATGTGTGAATGCTGTAATTATTTATAGCAACTTGAAAATTTTCGCACCCAAATTTAGTAACTTACCCTTTCATTGTGCTCAATTAAAATGGTGAAAATGTAAGTCAAAAGTGCTTATCTTATGAAAATACAAGTACTACCTAAATAGCTTCTTTGTTGTTTTTTTTTTTAAAGACAGAGTCTTCAGTTAGCCTGAAACTCACTATATAGATTAGGTTACCCTCAATCTCAGAGATCCCCCTGCCTCTGCCTCCTAAGTGCTCTAAATGGTTTCTGTAGGTACTTCTAAGCTTCTGTTATTGCTTATCTAATTGCACCCACAACCATTTTTTAAAGGCACTACACATTTTACTCCATCTCAGTAATTCAATTATTTTGTATTTTTCCTACAAAAAATGAGCACCAAGAGATTCTAAGAAAATCCTGATCTGGGTTCTACCTTTTCTTTTTTTGAGACAGAGTCTTACTACGCAGCCCTGACTAGCCTGGAATTCCCTCTATATAACAGGCTACCCTTGAACTCACAGAGATCTGCTTGCCTCTGCCTCTGCTTCCCAAGTGCTGGGAATAATGGTGTGTGCCACCACATCTGGCCCCTAATATAATTTTTAAAATTTGTAACAAGCTATCACTTTTCTCTGATCCTTTTCAGCATTTACTGAGAAGATTGTAAAATAACATATTTAATTTTTAAAAATCCTCAAAAACTTTTATTAGATAAAAGACCTGCCAACAACAAATAAAAGTAGACAAGAGTCCTAAAAACATTACCCTGAAAGGAATGAAGCTTTTGCTTTCTACCATGATCTCTCTTTCCACGATCACAAAACTCTACCTTGATCCAGCAGCGATCTTAGTACCATCCTTATTAAAGACCACATGGTTTACATTGGTAGTGAATCGAGTCAATATGCCATCTGGAACGCCTTCAGGAAATGTGTGGACTTGAACAGTATTGTTAGAAACTGCAGTGACCAATTTCCCATTCTAAAAGAAAAAAGAAAGACACACTGGCATAATAAATCCTACTAAGCAGCTGATAGTACCTCCAGAATGAAAAAGTTCCTTAAAAACACAGGCCTTATAAATGTAGTTCATGCAAAGAGAAAACTTACCAGTTTACAAGTTTCTTTAAGTAAACTTTATAAGAAAATATTCCTAGCTTTAGGAAAAAAACTCTAACTCCACCAGCCAATTCTAGCCTGTAATTTTTATATAACTTTTTAACCTGTAATTTTAATATAATTAAGTTATTTTTTAAGGATGCCAAATGTCCAAAGAACATGTCTGGGAGATGTCCACTACTAGGTGACATATCTGCAGTCAAATCCCTACAACTAAGGCTCATGGAACACAGCAGAATAAAGGGTAGAGAGAGGGCTAATGTACCCCTCAACTCTCACCAGTGAGGCTTCCTTGTACAGCAGAGTACAACGCACACAGAAAGCCACATTGGCCAAGTTTTGGAGAATAAGAGACTGTAGGGTATAGGATGGGACTCCTGTATGGAACCTTATCCACCCACAGCTCAGGGACCACAGCGGAAGAGGAGATGGAAAGATTGTAAGAGCCAGGGCTGGTTCATAAACACAGGGAAGTGGAGGCTTCCAGGCCACTGAAGGCTTGCTCATGTGAGACTGTGGCAGTGGTGGTGTCGAGCGAAGGACCCATGTCAGCTCAATTAAACAAGGACCCAAAGGGGAGGTGAGAAACAGGTGGTGGGCCAGCACTATACTGAGAACTATTTGACATTGATTGCTGTCTGGGTGAGGGAGAGTGTGACTTACATACAACCACTGGATGGGCTGACTAGATTCCAGTGGACACATTTACACTGAAGGACATTTGGGTACAAACACCTGAATGAATAGGACTCAGCATGTATGGCAGAGTGCACAGGGTTTGGTGGGGGGATGGGGGAGGCATGGATGGGGGAAGGATCTGGATTTGAGTGGGAAATGTTCTATCTATGAAATTTTAAAAAAAAGCTTTTTTAAAAAAGGATGCCAAATGTCATAAAAATAAGGAGACTCATGAGAGCTTGTGAGGAAGGATGACATCAGAAGACAGGGCTACTATAACATGGCCCTGTTTCTACAATGAAATTATACCTTTTTGGAACAGGATAAAATCTAAAAGCAGACTACCACATTTTTGAAACGGAGTGATATGTCTAAGGCCAAAGAATGCTGAGGATTGTCACATCCAAATCCTAGTAGACAGTTCTGGAACAGAGGCTGGGGAAGAGCCATTCTGTTGCCACCTTAATTTCAGAAGATGAGGCAGCAATAATGCTCTGGTGCTTTAAGCCATCGAGTTTATAGTAATCTGTAACAGAAGCACTAGGAAACTAACATAAGAAAGCAATACACCATCACCATCATCATCATCATCACCATCATCATCATCGGAGAAAAAAACAATATAAAAAAGTGTGTCCTGAGCAAAGAAGGAATTTTCTACCCATATGAAATAATTTCTATTAACATTCTGAGGTTATGTCATTTTAGCTTTTTCTAAACCTATGCAAATACATAGGCATTTTAGGAAAACAATAAATATTTCACTACAGAGACTGCAATGCAACTTTTAAAAATCTTTCAACTTATGAACATCTTTTCAGGTGTAGATATATGACCTATCTTTTTTTAGTAGTTGGATGATATTCCATCTTATGGCTCTACCGAAATTTATAAAATTTCTATTGAGAATCCCTTCAACTGGTTCCAACTTTTGTTTTACAGTGATAATGGGCTGGTATGTAATTCAATTGTTAAAGTGCTTACCTAGCATACACAAAATCTGGGTTTGATCACCAGCACTGCATAAACCAGGCATGGTGGTGTACACCTGTAATCTTAGTACTTAGGAGCTAGAGGATGAAGGATCAGAAGTTCAAGGTCATCCTTGGCTACATAGGGAGTTCAAGGCCAGCCTGAGCTACATAAGACTGTTTCAAGAAACTAACAGGGCTAGAGAGATGGCTCAGCAGTTAAGAGCACTGGCTGCTATTGCAAGAGACCTGGGTTAAGTTCCCAGTACGGACATGGTGGCTAACAAGTGTCCATAACTCCAGCTCCAAGGGATCCAATGCCCTCTTCTGGCTTCTTCAGGAATTGCATGCATGGCTGTACTTACATGCAGGCAACACTCATACACATAAAATTAAAAATAAAGAAAAAAAGAAACAAAACAAAACACAACACAACCTGGAAGAAAAAAAGAGAAGATACATCTATATACAAAACTTCTATAAAAAATATTTTCACTCAAGCATAAAAGTCACATGCCAGCATCATTTCTCATCAATTGATATAATTCTTCCTACCTTCAAAGCACATGAAAATGCCTTTTCTCCCACATTAATGGACTTAGGATCATCATCGTCCAAGTCTTCCCAAATTCTCACATCACCATCACTTCCACAAGTCACAATACAACTGTGAAGGAAGTACTCACATTAAAATGTCACCCAGTTTCAGGAATAGAATACTACCTTCATATTTTTTCAAACAAAATCAGGATAATAGTGAATATTTTCTCATTTTTTTTTTCAAATAAACATCAATCACAGACTGCTAGCTATCTATAAAATGCAGATGAGTTCAACATTCTCTACAGGTCTTGCTTGGCATAAAATTATTTCTTAGTAATAATAATATAAGAGAACAATGGGGGCTGGAGAGATGGCTCAGCAGTTAAGAGCACTGGCTGCTCTTGCAGAGGACCTGGGTTCAATTCCCAGTACCCACATGGCAGCTAACAACTGTCCATAGCTCCAGTTCCAGGGGAGCCCCCACCCTCTTCCGACCTCCACACACAATGCACGACAGTGGTGCACTTCACCACTTACATAAATGTAGGCAATACACTCATACACACACTAAAAAATATTTTTTAAAAGAAAGATGAACATATACAAGGCCTTACTCACCACTGTATCCCTAGCACCAAGCAACCTCTGATATACACAAAACTTTAACAAATGTTTTATGAATGAATATATGAGCTCAATTACCCAAAGACAATGATTAAAACAGCTATCTGCATCTGTTATAACTTGTCTTTAAAGGTGTAATGGTTCACACCCTTAATTCCAGCACTCAGGAGACAGAAGTATACACATCTCTGTGAGATCAAGACCAGCCTGGTCTACACAGTGAGTCCAGCTGGGGCTACAGGGAACTCATCTCAAAAAAACAAAAACAAAAACACAAATAAAAAACTTGTTTTTGAATCTCTCATCTTCCAAGTGCTTTCGTTCAATCTGTGTATACAAAACAGCTTTTAAAAAAACAGCATAGGGCAAATGGCAGAAAATATAAAAAGGAAAAAAGAAAAGGGAGCAAAAGAAGGAAGGAATATGAATAAACAATGTGCAGAAGAAAATGATTAATTCCCAAATGGGAAAGCAAAAGGAACCGTAAGAAAAGTATTTAGCCAGGTGTGGTGGCATACAACTATAATCCCAACAGAGGGAGGAAGATCAGTTCAAGTACAGTCTCAGCTACATAGTAAGTTTGACGCCAGCTTGTGCGATATGAGATTCTGCCTAGGACACCAACCTCCTGGATAAGATGGAGTCACTTGTGCAATAGTAATATGATGGTTCTAAGGGTAACCAACCACTCTAGTTGAATTTGAAGCCTACTCCACAGGAACTCATGCCTGGTACTGTAAACCCATTCAAAACCCCATGGGGCTAGGAAGGAACTTAGTACTGCTGCTTAGCTAAAATGACATAGCCTCAAACTGCCTTCTAAACATCTATGCTTATACCCATAGACAAAAGCTACTCTCCGCCTTAGAGAAGCCTCTCTTTGCAGTGAATGGCAGTGAATACAGAGACTTGTGGCTGCACAGGGACTGACAGTAAGTGATGGCTGAATGTACAGCCCTAAACATGACAAGTACACCTCCCCTCAAAGGTTTAGGGAATATCCAGAAGAAGGAGCAGAAAGAATGTAAGCGCCAGAGGATGGGAGAAAGGCCTGCAAAATGCCATCTTCTGGGCAAGATATAGCCATTTTAATCATGAACTCACAGCAAATGTTGCAATTGTTGTACTGGGTCTGCATTAGAATGGGCCCTCAACAGCCACACATGGAAGGAGGAGAGGCTCAGGGGGTCCTGTCCTCCACTGCTGAACTATTTACCATAGATAGATTCAGGGAGAGGAGAAGCCATTGCCTTAGTTGCGTACCTACTGGAGACTCCACCAGACACCAATGGATAGTCCCAATTCAGTGGTCACAAATGGCCCTGGTTAAACTAGGCAGGTCACAAAACCAAACCAAAAGTCATGAATCTAGAAAGGGGATTATTAGGGAGGAAGGGAGAATGACATCGGTGGGAGGGAGATGAGAGAGTAGGGCAAGAGAGTAATCAGATTACATTATATGCATGTATAAGATAATCAAAATCTATGTTGAGACTGATTGCCAAGAGCGGTTTCAAACACAGGAATCAAAATACACAGTTAGAACAGCATTGGGACTTTACTTGGCAAACACAATCCAGGAAATGAAAAAGAAAATAAAGACTGAGGTCATCTTATTTGAATAAACTTAATACCAGAGTAAGGAGTGTAGACTCCCTTCTACCTGATTTAGATAGGAAAACCGGTAGCAGATGAATATTTTGCTTGCATGTAAATATGTCCACCATGGGGCTGGAGAGATGGCTCAGTGTTTAAGAGCACTGACTGCTCTTGCAGAGGACCCAGGTTCGAGTCCCAGCACCCACATGACAGCTAACAACCGTCCGTAACTCCAGTTCCAGGGGAATCCAATGCCTTCTTCTGATTTCCACAGAAACTGCACGACACAGGTGTAGTTACATACATGTAGGCAATACACTCATACACATAAAACAAAAAATAAATAAAATAAAATAAATTAAAAAGTAAATATGTGCACCATGTATCTATCTTGCGCCCTTGGAGGCCAGAAGAGGGTGTCAGGTCTCCTGGAACTGAAGCTCCAGAAGACTGTGAGCCAATACATGGATGCAGGGAACTGAAACCAAGTCCTCTGCAGAGCCTCTCTCTAGCCCCTCGATTTTTTACTGTCATAGAAGCCACAATTTATTTATTTATTTATTTGTTAATTTACTCATTTTGGAAACAGGGTCTCACCATGCAACACTGGTTGACCTGGAACTCACTATGTAGACTAGGCTGCCCTCGAACTTGGAGAGATCCACCTGCCTCTGCCTACAGAGTGCTGGGATTAAAGGTATGCATCATCACACCTAGCCAAGGTTCCTTTTCAGTGTCTCTTACTCTCTTCAAATTCTCGAATCCTTTCTAACCTGTCCTAGATTACAGTCTGTCTTTAATATCTGTCCTCAGCACTCTCTGGCCCTCTGTCACTTTGTCATACTTAACACAATGTCAGCACTAAACTTTCTCCTTACTATTAAGTTTGCACCATCAGAGCTAAACACAGTTGGAGAACATACAATGAAGCTATCTGGGCTCACTTTAAATTCATTCTAACCCGGCCTCCTGGTGCTTACCACAGGCTGTGGTTTTACACTGACTGTATAGAAAGAGGAGGCACAGCAAACCTGCCCCATATACACCCCAGCCCAGGCCACTATGCCTGGTCTGTATTGTGAATGAGGAGACATGGATTGAAAAAAAAGAAAAAAATCATTCTAACCGAAAGTAAGCTGTTAGTGCTGCCTATCAATCCAAGTACATATCCCCAGTCCATTCAACTTTCCCTTTCTCCTAATCGTTATCTCATACCAACTCCTCTTCCTCCAAACTTCTACTGTCCCCTACTCTCAACTGACTTTGCTTCCAACTTTACCCAGAAGACAAAAGGAATCTACTGTAACTGACCACATTACTCTCCATTCCACCTAACTGAACATTTACTTCCCTTGTAAATTTGACCATGCTCCCATCTTTAGCCAATTTCTACCCCTTGAGATCCTGGCCTTTTTGACCTACTCAGGGGCATCCGATAATTCCTCCTTCTAGTATAATATCAATTTCTCACTCCACTCACATACATGCTGTGATATGAGCGATTTCTCACCTTAAAACAAAAACCTTTCCTGACCCCACATTCCATTCAGTCACTTTCTTTGAGAACGTCATCCTCCCCTTCCATTCTCTTGAATCCAATCCAACAAGGATTTCAATTCTTCCTACTCCATAAAACTTACCCAAGATCATCAATTGTATACATGTTGTTAAATTTAAATAGTAAAATTTCAATCTCCCATTTGGCCCATCAAAAACACTTGACATAGTTATTCCCACCTCTTTAAAAGTTTGTTTGGTTTCTAAATATCCTTTGTCTTTTGTTCTCTATTTTTCTTTTTTTAAATTTTATTTGTTATTTTTGTTTTATGTGTATGAGTGTATTGCCTGCATGTATGTAAGTGTACCCATGTTGTGCCTAAGTAGGTCAGAAGAAGCCATTGAATCCCCTGGAACTGGGGCTATAAACAGTTGTAAGCTACAATGTAGGTGCTGGAAATCAAACCCAGATCCTCTGCAAGAGCAGTCAGTGCTCTTAATATCACTGAGCCATCTCTCCAGCCCGTTCTCTACTTTTCTAGGCATCCCTAAGTCTCCTTAGGTGGATCCTGCACTAACATGATCTCTAAATGCTTCGATCTAATCTTGAACCTCTTTTTTTTACTACATTCATTCCCCCCAGTTCATTTCATCTAAATTAGAAACATTTAATGTGTGTGTGTGTGTGTGTGTGTGTGTGTGTGCTGACACATATCCACATTTATGTTCCTAGCGAGGACTTCAATCCTAAATTCTGAAGACATCAGGCAAAGATGTGTATGTCTATCTCTAGCTCACATTTTTCTGAGGCTGAGACTCTTTTTTCCAACTTTTCTTTACATCTCTAATCAAGTATCTCAAAGAAGTCCTACCAACCTTGCCCAAAAGCAAACTCAAGCTCCACTCCGTTCCTCCTCTAAAATATGCTCTTCTACAAGAATCATATATTTCCAATACCTACAAATGACAGCATCATTTCCTCAACTGTAGTATCCAGAAATGCAGATGTTATCCCTGACATCGTCCTCTCCATCCTTAATATCTGAACCACTCTGTTGACTTCACCTATTTTCTCCATACCCATGCCCACTCCAGCATACGTTTTCCATTATTCTATCAAAGCACCTCCTAAAAGCCTATAACCACCAGGCGTGGTGGCACACACCTTGAGTCCCAGCACTCGGGAGGCAGAGGCAGGTGGATCTCTGTGAATTCAAGGCCAGCCTGGTCTACATAGTGGGTTCCAGGTCAGCCCCACTAGAGACTCCATCTCAAAAAGACCAAAAAAAAAAAAAAAAAAAAAAAAAAAAAAGCCTATATCCACTCCCTTTACTTCCTTTTCTAATTCATTCTTCATGCACCTTCTCAAAAACATGAGTCTAGGGATAGTCAAATGGCTCAGCAATTAAGAGCACTGGCTGCTCCTGCAGAGGACCCAGGTTCAGTTCCCAGCACTCACATGGCAGCTAACAACCACCTGTAACTCCAGTTCCAGGGGATTCGGTGGCCATCTTCTGGCATCTCTGGGCACTGCACCACGTGGGTGCGCTTACATACACGCAGACAAAACACTCATACACATAAAGTAAAAGTAAATCCCCCCCCCCAAAAAAAACCCAAGAGAGTATTAATAACTGTTCTCTGCTTCAAACCTGTAATACCTTCCCACTGCTTTTGGGACAAAAACAAGATTATTTGTGCGCATGAGCAAGTGTGCGCATCTGGAGCCCAGAGATGAATGCCAGGTGTCTTTTTCCATCTCTCTCTGCCTTATATTCTGAGGCAGGGTCTCTCATTGAACCCAGAGCTCACCAGTTCAGCCAGCCAGTTCTGGGGATCCCCTGCTTCCATCTCCCAAGGGCTGGGATTATAGGACCATTTGAACTCTTGGTCCTCACACTTGCTAGGCAGGAAGGAGTTTTACTTGCAGAGCCATCTCCACAGCCTCCCCGACTCCAAAAGTCTCCTTAATAAAACTAGAAGGTCTTATGTCACTCCCTGCCTTACCTTCCCAGTCATTCCATGAACCTCAACATAACAGTCAGGGCTTGTTGGCATTGCTGTATCTCTAGCCCCCAGCAGGGCAGATGCACAATTTTTTTCAATGAATCAAGATGAACCGAGGCGGGGCAGTGGAAGCCACAGGAATGGCATTTGGAAAAATAAATGGCATTTGAAAAAAATAAAGAATAACCCTAGGAAAACATTACCGTTTAGGAATCTAACAGAAATCAGTTTTGTAAACTCAGAAAGTTAAAATGGAGAACGGAGGGAGGGAAAGTGAAAAGAAAACAGCAAAGAGAGATAGATGATCATTAAAGCCAATGGAGGCTACTATACCAAACTGAATGGTGGACCACTGAATTTGACAAGCACTATGTATTGCGCTCATAGAAAGAATGCGACCAAGAAAACGAAAATGTGAACGAAAGGGGCTCACTCCTCTCGAAATAAGATGACTTTTCTGGAGTACTGAAATTACCATGACAGTCTGAAGCAAGCAGGTCTAACGAAATACACGGTCCTATTTAGATTCCAACACTCTCATTCATTCATTCATTCATTCTCTCTCTGAATGTCATTTTCAGCTGACTGCAGATGCAGTAAATATTTTCAGATATTTACGCCCGAGTCGTTCTTTCTCCTTTACACAGAACCTTACCTTCCAGAATCATCAAAACAGACGTCCGTGTGTCCTTCTGTATGTCCGTATCTCATGGGCTTCTGCGTGGCCGGCATCGTTCCCCTTCCCTACCTGGAACGGTCTTCAAAGGATTAAGGAGGAAAGTCAGGAGGCAGCCGGGAAGGTCGTGCTCTGCAGGCTCTGCAGCCCGGCTTCCCTCACCTGAGGGACAGCAGCAGGATACAGCGGAGGGTCAGTCACACGGTAGGCCAGGAAGGCGCCACGCTTCTCGGAAGACTCGGGCGACGCGAACCAGGACCTAGCCGGTGCCCTACCTAGCCCGAGCGTCCGAGGAAGGAAGAGGTGGGATCCCCCGCGCGGAGCCGCTTCCCGCGCTCCGACGCTCTCTCTGCGCTGCGCGTGCGCGGCCCGCCCACGCCCAGCACAGGTCCCGACCCAGGTCGCGGGGTGTTGGCGTCAGCCGCGGGCGCCGCTGGAAAGAAAAGAGGCAGCTGCTGGGGCCGTCCTGGAAGAGAAGAAGGGAGCTGAACACGGAAGTGGCGGTGGCGCCTGGGAAGCAGGCGGAGGCTGTGGCTTCCGAGTCTGACGCGGGCATCGAGCGCCCAGCAGGGGCGGGGGCTGACAGAAAGGCGTCCGCCTTGCGGTGCTTCTCGAGCAGCGGGAGTGGCCGGGCCTCGTTTCCGCACTTGCGAGCGCCGGGTGATGGAGGCGGTGATGGCGGCTGCTCCGCGGACAGCCCCAGTTAAGCTGCACTCAGGGAGGTGAGTGGGGGAAGGGTGGTCGCTGTCGACTGTGCCGGCCGAGGTCTTGTGCCTACCATTCCAGGCGCGCCTCCCGGGCGACCACATCCGGGTCTTTGCCCCGGTCCCAGCCCCTTTGAGGGACACAGAGACACATCTTTAGAGGGAAAAGCGAGACCTTGTCAAGCCTTTCTTGGATCCTTCGTGCCCTCACTTTGTGGTTTCTGTAGTGATAAAGGATTAATTCTTGTTTATTGCAACTCTAGCCAGATAATCCTTAAGAGAGTAACTCGGGTTTCGTATTCAGGATCCACCCAGAGTTTACTGAAGTGCGTATCTACATCCAAAAATGAAGAGTTGCAACTAAATTCTGTTGTTGAGTTTAGTTGTTGAATCTTTCATCCATGCAGTCTGCTGAGTAAGGTCTTGGCCGTCAGGTTTATACTTTTGTCTTCACGTTCTCTGTATTAGTAAGCTGGTTTCTGATGAAAATTCAGCAGTGAGGAGCTGAAGAGACGGCTCAGCGGTTCTTAAGAGCACTGGCTGCTCTTGCAGAGGACCTGGGTTAGATTTCCAGCACAAGGCCGTCAGTAGCTCCAGTTCCAGGGGAATCCCACGGTCTGTTCTGATCTCTTCAGCACTGCACAACACGGATGCACTTTACGTCTACAGTCAGTACACTCACATACAAATTTAAAAATTAAAAAAAAAAAAACAATGATAGTTTTATCAACATTTGTCTTTGGAAATTTCTCCGGGGCTTGTGGTACACACCTTTCAGTTTCAGTCAGACTTATTTTTATCAGTTGAGACATTTTTCCGTGGTAGAGAGATAGACTTCTTCAGTCTAGTTCCCTTCTGAAAAGTTGCAAACGCAGTTAAGCAAAACGTGGTGCTCTTGCTGTGGTGTTATTCTGTGAAGTGTCTTAAGTACTACAATTCCAGCTGGGCTTGCTAGACACTGAGATTGTATGTAAATGAAAAGGAGGGGTGATTGGTATAAAAAGAATTTGGAGGTTATTTTGGGAGAGGGAGTAATAACCGAGTGTTTTTTCCCACAAGAGGTAAGGGTACCTAAGATGATGTTTTCTGAGTAACTTAGCTTAATTTTGCAATTATTCAATTTTTTTGGATGAACCAATTTATGATTTTTGTGCAAGTAGCTGAATATCAGGTATAGTGTGGGGTTCAATTTGAACTAATCATTTCTGTCTTAAATAAATGATGATATCTCTAATACTTTTCAGAGCTCAACATTTAAAAACCCGCAAATAGGAACAAGAGTTATAGCTGTAAATACTTTAGACATAGTATCTATATAACATGTGATTTTAAAACTATGAATGGTGTCAGTACACCTGTCAGTTCTCTGTGTCATAGCAATCAAGCCATGTGATTCATAGGTTAAAGAAACATTTCCTTTGCAGATTTCACACATATGAATGAGCTTAAGCTTGAGGGTTTGAACAGTCCTAGTTTTTAATTTTAACTCTAACCTATGGTATGATCTTGAGTGTGTCTTTACTTTCCTGAATGTTACATCCCTCATCTCTAAAATTAAGATGATACTTCTACCAAATTAGTAAAGCACTTAGAACATACTCATAGATGTGTAAAACTGTTATTAATGTCTAATGTTAATTGGGTACTCTGGGTGTTTAGTGGTTTTCTTTAAAGTGGGGATTAGCCTGTAACATTTTTCAAATATTAAAAATGTGTCCTTTTGCTTTTGGTAGTATAATGTTTTCAGAATTCCTTTTGCTTCAGTCAGATGGCTACAAAACTGCTAATGCTACCTTCAGCAAGTTCATGACCCTGTTGAGAGAAACTGATTTTCAAGCAGTATGTACAGAACAATAGTGCAGTAATGAAACTTGTGTAAAGTACTGTATTGCAAAATTGTCCAGTTATTTAAGATAATATAACTTTAAAAGGTAAACCAGTAGAGCTCTATCTCTGATATGGATATCAAAATTTTTCAAATGAATTATTCATCATCAACAGTGCATATCTCATATTCATTCGGGGTAGCTAAATGAACTAAGTGAAAACAATGCCAAAATCGACAATTCAGTTTCAGTAAAGGTTGGTTTGCTCCGCTGTGACTACATTAGTACCCTGAGACTCACAAATACTGTTTGTCTCAAGGGCATTTGGGTTATTAGCATTCTGTCAAAGATGGTATTTATATAGTCATATAATCTTTACGTTTTTCTAAGAGACTTAGTGTCGCCTTATGGAAGAGTTTTTTTTTTTTTAATTTATAATTTTCTTTTTTATTTTTAGTATGTGTATGTGGGTGGGCAGGGTTTGTGCATGTCAGTGCAGTGTCCACAAAGACCAGAGGAGGGAGTCACATCCCGTGGAGTTGTAGTTATAGGCAGTTGTGAGCCACACTTGGGTGCTAGGAACTGAATTTGGGTTCTCTGCAAGAGCAGTGTGTTCAACTGCTGAGAAATATCTCCAACTCCTAAAATGTCGTTTTAATAGAATATTTACTTGATGTAAATGTCATCAATTCTATGGAAGATAGGGTGACAGTAAGTAAAGAGAGCAAAGTACTGAAAAAATCACATTTTTTCATTGAGGACATGTTAGATATCTGAAGATTTTATCTCTCTGTATCATGGAAGTTGATAATGTATTTTGGGGGGAAGTAAGTAATCCTTGTATAAACCCAGTAAGGCATAGAAAGGAGCACAATAAAAGTTCCTCTGCTCATAGCCACACCATTCCTCTAGCTAAAAACTGCCAGTATTTGATTCTTTGGTTACACTGTCTACTAGATTGACTTTTACCATAGCAAGACAGATTTTTATCAATGTTTTAAATATACCTTTATTAATTCTTTGAGAATTTCATACAGTATTTTTTTAATATTTTATTTATTTTTGTTTTATGTGTATGCATATATTGCCTGCATGTAGGTAAGTGCACCTGTGTTGTGCAATGACTGCGGAGGACAGAAGGGGCTGTCGAATCCCCTGGAACTAGACTTATGGACAGTTGTTAGCTGCCCTGTGGGTGCTGGGATTTGAAAAACTCGGGTCTTCTGCAAGAACAGTTAGTGTTCTTAACCACTGAACCATCTCTCCAGCCCCCATACAGTATATTTTGATCATATTCATATAGATGTTGTTCTCTGCACTTTGGTCGATTGTGAGTTTCCACATTAACCACCTTCCACTGCACAAAGAAACCTCTCGATAAGGTCTGAGAACAGTGTTGATCTATGGGTATAGGGCTACAAATTTAGAGGCAGTGGTACTAAACCAACTTTAATACCACTTGGAGGATTTCTCAGCAGTTGAACACTTACTGCTCTCGCAGAGGACCCAAGTTCAGTTCCTAACACCCAAGTGTGGTGGCTCACAACTGCCTATTAACTATGTTAACATTTCGGGGGTTTTTTCCTCTTTATTTTATTTATTTTTTTTTTTTGAGACAAGGTTCCAGCTGGCCTGGAACTTACAATGTAGACCAAGCTGGACTTGAACTCACAGCGATCCACCTGCCTCTGCCTCTGCCTCTCAGGTGCTGGGATTAAAGGCATGCACCGCCATGCCTAGCTCCTTTTTATTTATTTATTTATTTTTATTTTATTTTATTGGGTTTTTTTTTTTTTTTTTGGTTTTTTTTTTTGGTTTTTTTTTGAGAAAAGGTTTCCCTGTAGCCCCAGATGGCCTGGGAACTTACTTTGTAGACCAGGCTGGCCCTGAACTCAGAGAGATCCGCTTGCCTCTGCCTCCTGAGTGCTGGGATTAAAGGCATGAGCTACCATGCCCAGCATTCCTTTTTATTTTTTTAAATGTGTTATTAATTTTTATCTTATGTGTATGAATGTATTGCCTGCATGTGTATGTGTGCACCCATGTCGTGCAGTACTTGTGGAGGTCAGAAGAGGGTGTCAGATTCCCTGAAACTGGAGTTACAGATGGTTGTTAACTGCTAAGTGGATGCTAGGACTCAAACCAGGTCTTCTGCAAGAGTAGTCAGTGTTCTTAACTGCTGAGCCCCTTTTTTCCTTTTTAAATTATCATCCAGTTAAATCTTGTGAATCCTGGCTAATTCTTTAAAGGATATACTTTAAACATCTACTGGAAAATTAATATGTAATGAAAAGCTTTTTTAGTTCAATTTTTTTCTTCATATGTACAGCTCATTTTCATTTCTTTTTGATGTATGTTCCAAGGAGTTCCTCTGTTGTCTGCTATCCAGTAAATTGGCATTTGTAAAGCCTAAATCTTTCTCTAGCATCCAACTTAAATATGATCTGAGTGCTTTCATGGAACTTGGGGGCAGATGCTAGTAGGTAAAACTTAGAATCACAGATTTGGTAGGAAAGGTCCCAGGGCTGAATTGCTATCTAAATAATTATTTGTGAATTCTTTTTTTTTTTAAATTTATTTGTTATTTTTATTTTATGGGTGTGAGCATATTGCCTTCACGTGTCTAAGGGTACCCATATCATGCAATGCCAGAGGATGTCAGAAGATAGCCTCTGATTCCATAGGAACTGGAGTTTCAGACAGTTGTTGGCTGCCATGTGGGTGCTAGGAATCAAACCCAGGTCCTTTGTGAGTGCAGTTAGCGCTCTTAACCATTGAGCCATCTCTCCAGCCCCGTGTTTGTGAATTTTTTGTTTAATATATTGAGTTACTCTTTGGATCATCAAATTTATTTCATTTTAGTACTTATTTGAATTCTGGTCTTAAATATAAATCCACAGCATTGAGTTGTGTGCTCATCCACAACTACATGAGTAGTTTTGCTGGATAACTTCAGTTGTCAACTTAACACACCTGGGTAGAGGGACCCTCAGCTGAGGAATTTCCTCCATTGGATTGGCCTGTGGCCATGTCTATGGGGCATTGTCTTGACTGTTGAGTGATGTGGGAGGACTCAGATCACAGTGGGTGGTGCCACCCCTGGGTACAGTGGTCCTGTGTTGTATAAGAAAGCAGGCTGATGGGACTGGAGAGATGGCTCAGCAGTTAAGAGAACTGACTGCTCTTGCAGAG